ATGTTGGTTTTGCATGTGTGTGTGTGTGTGTGTGTGTGTTTTTTTTATGTGGTGCAACCAAGAATAAGCTTGAGACATGTGTAATAAGAAATTGGTAACAATAAAATTCATAAAGTCCTTATTTTAGAGTAATTCATTTAGTGTTTGTTAATATTTTAAATTTTTATTTTAGTTTTCTGTTTTTATTTAAATTTCATTTAAAGCTTGTTATTTTGTTTTTGTGTGTAATTGTAGTATTTTTTATATATCGTTTTTAAGTTTGAGTTATTTTAGGACTTCAACTTAAAAATAACAAAAATGATCAATGTTTCTAAGTTTAAATGTTTATTTATTTTTTTTGTTTGACTTTCATGGCATGATTTATTTATTTAGCCTATTTACTTATTTATTTATTGTTTTAGTTAACATTAATAATCCTGCTCCACAGAAATATCTAAATTAATTGAAATTCATAAATTGAAAACATGTTAATCATCGAAGATTTGTATTCAAACCGAGTTAGCGACGTTTTTAATGTATTTTGTATGAATGAATAAACACACAGACACACACATTAACCCCACTGACCTAGATACATGTCTAAGTCAAGGCCTACAGAACTCTTGATCTGATATGTAATTGTCTTGCTTTCTCTATAGGGGGTGTTGTCCAAAATGGAGGTGAAGACATCACTTCTCGACAATATGATAGGGGTGGGCGATATGGTCCTCATTGAGCCCCTGTCCGAAGACACCTTCATTGAGAATCTAAAGAAGCGATTCGATCACAACGAGATCTATGTAAGTAATGCTTAAACTAATGTTGAGAACATCATGCAACAATTGCTGTTTCCTTTTCTTGGTCGTCCTCTCATTTTAGGCTTTCACTACTCCAGACAGTCACATCACATCAAGAGTGTCTAAGTTTAGTCTGAGTGTGTTCCCACTTCACAGACAAATAGGAGTGTAGAGATGAACACGGTGTAAATCATAGCCCTTGCATTGTTCTGTCCCTGCTCTCATGTCTTTCCCATTCATTTGGACTCAGTTTTAAAAGCTGTTGCATACCAAACAACAAACCAGCATACAAAATGGGTTCATTTGATTTGTAAATAGTTGTTTAATGAATCCGAATATGCGAAAGTGAACAGATATCTAAGAGAATTGAGGATTTTCTACATTTCTTCGGGTACAAACAAGCACTGTGGCTATGTTGTGTTATTAAAACAGTGTTCTCTTTGTCTGACACTGCAAAATTGCCTTAATCCAATTGGCTGTCTGTTGTTCGACCAATAGCAGACAGGGAGAGTGGTCACGAAACCTGTTTGAAAACAGTTATTTTTGCAAAACAATTTAGTGACATTACCACTGCAGAAATTACTTGACACTTAAGATGTGGTCGTATAAAGCAGTACAGTAAAGTTATGCAAGGAAATCCAGTCGTCCAGAATTTCTAGTGAGGGTAAAAGCTTTCACCACTGTGCTTCATACATTGCTACACTATTGACAATATTACTTTTTTGCTAGTGACATTTTGCTAATAGATAGACAGCATCTTTAGTACTCAAATTTTTTTTAATTTTCATTAATCAAAAATGTTTTTTTCCTGCTGAAATTGGAAGAAAGCTCTAGCATGTTCAGATTTACATACTGTATGTGTGGACCTATAAATTGATTGAAAAACAAATGAATTGCTGCATTAGTTGCCATGCTTAATGAGAATTTGCATTCAGTATCAGGAAATATTAAGGTTTAATGACCCCTTCAAATGGCTGATTTACATTTTGTGTGGCACCATAAAAATGGACCCTTGAAGATGTTTATTTATATTTTGCAGAGCTGTAATCTGACCAGTTCTAAAAGACTAAAATCATGTAGTTGGTCACAAGCAGGTTGTGTGTTTACTCTGTAATTAAGAGTGTTACTACCCACATCCCTCAATGTCCAGTAGCTGCAAGTTTTTAATGCAACCTCTAGCCTTGTATTTAATGCAAATCCCCAAATTACACAGGAGAGTGCTGACAAGAGCAAAATTATATAGAGCACAGTATATTTATATGTTCTTTGCACTTTGTGCAAACTGGTCACTTAATTTTCTTGTTTGTAAGTTATAGTCACAGCAACCATAAATTAAACGTCTGTCATTATTTACTCACTCATATGTTTTCTGCAAAAGTAGACCTCTCCTTTTGAGTTCAATAAACAAAATAAGTTTGAAATGATATTAAGGTGGGAAAATACTTCTGAATTATCCGTTTAAACTTATATTTTAAAAGGGCTTAATGGAGAATATTCTAGGAACGTCTCCACCCTCAGTATCATCTATTTAAATGCCAAGAAGCTTACATCACGGTCCATCGTATGTCTTACATTTCACCAACTTTACAATGAATGTCACATATAATTATCTGCCTTATCTAATCAGTGCCCTGTCAAAAACAGTTATGATGGGTTACATTTTCAAATACAGCAGGCAATAAGAGCTGTAGAATTATGAAACAAATGTCCTTGTATTTATCTTTAAACTTTGCTCGGTGTTATTGGCTTCAAGAAAGAACATATATGTGTGTGTGTGTGTGTGTGTGTGTGTGTGTGTGTGTGTGTGTGTGTGTGTGTGTGCACATTTAGTAGTAAGGAACAGATGTGATTGTGTGTGCTCACTCTTTTAGTGATGCTCTTTATTGATCCACAGTTGCTCGTTCTTCCAAAATGTATGTCCACCAGGTCTCATTTAGATGCATTTAAAGGCCAATTGAATTATTTACACAGGCCTAGTCCTGCTCTAATGCACCCATAGCCGTCACATCTCTCTAGTGCCCATTGTGCAATGTCACCATTGTGAACAGTATTTAAATCCATCTGGGATTGGGAGGATTCTAATATATTCCTAATAGAATGAAGAAATACCAATTCTGTTCTGTTTGTGTGAAAGAAGAATTAAGCCACTGGTTCAAAAAGCTTTAAAGATAAATTCATTTGTTGCAAATGTCCAAACTCCAAACATTTGACTGGTAGCATATGTCTTGGGTGACTCATGCACTTTTATTGATATATATTTCTTTTTTCTGTAATTTTCACTTCATCTGTTCATTTACATTTGATCTCTACATCTAAGGGATTCATTATGCCTCCTGTGAACATTTGACAATAGGTTGTGGGCTGTGTTGCCATGGGAGAGGCCTGATCCTCCGGCTGCAAGCCTTATGCAACACTCTCTGTAATGAAAGGTAGAAGACGGCTGCAAGAATTAATCATTGTTCTGATGTCCCAGAGACATTGAGATAGATTTGCTTTTAACATCATAAGTTAGAAATTGGTGGCAGCAAGAATGAAAGAAAGATTTGAAAAGCAAGAGAAGCTTGGAATAAATTAGTCAGGATGTTTGTTTGAGTCATCTGAAATAGACAACTTTAGACACCGTTGCCCTCGCTGGCCACTTTTGACCACCCTGTGTTGTTGATGCTTTCTGGAATTCCGAACATTTTTGTTTGTGTTCTCTTGTTCGGCTGCTTGCGGGCCCCCCGCCTGTCTGAACAATACCCAGGAATTCCCATCTGGATCATGCAGACGGAGGCATATTGTAGCACTGCTGCCGCCACTGTTTGTCTGTGCCTCACAGCAGGGGAGTATGAATACAGTGCAGTGTCTTTTAGGGATGTCACGATACCAGTACAAGTGAAATTTCACATTTACCATAATTTTCATGGTAGGAGCACACCATTATTTTCATTATGACTGGCTTGATGATGCATATACAGTCTGCGGTGACAACACTTGGGTACCACAATTAGTTTGTATGCTCAGTAACACCAGTACTGTAGACTAGAGATGCCCAATCCTGGTCCTGGAGAGCCGTTTGACGTTTCTCTTATCTGACACACATCTGAGGTCTTGGAGTCTTTATTAATAAGCTGATGAGTTGAATCAGGTATGTGTGTGTGTGTTTAGGAAGACATCTAAAATGTGCAGTTTGGGTTTCTCAAGGACCAGGATTGGGAACCACTGCAGTAGACTGAATATACATTGGAGATCAAAATTAGAGAACTACCTACAATTTCTTAAATTTCAAGATCATTGCTTAGTCCTATTTGAAGTTATCAAAGTAGAAGGGCAGTTGTTAAGCATATTTCATAAATTAATTGTATTCTGATGCACAGTATAAAAAAACTTAAATGAGATATTTGAAAAAGAACCCCGATACAAATTTGAGAACACTTCGAGGTACCTCCATGTTATTGGTCTTAATCTGACACCTGGGGATAATTTTCTTAATTATATGACAAAACCTATTTAAATGGCAACATTCCTTTCATTTTCACTAAGATTGCAAGATGGTGGGTGACTGAAACCCTTTAACAGGAGGTGGTCCAGATAAAGGCCAAAATGATGACCCTTTCAGTCATTGCAAGAGAAGCTGGCCATTCCAAATCTGTGATTTCTAGAATATTGCCGTTTTACAATGACACTAATTCATTCAAGTCCCCCCAAAAGGCTGGTCATCCACGTAAGACAATTGCACGAGAAGACAGGCTAATGAGGATACTCTAAATGGGGAATTGGTTCAACACTGCAGATGGAATTGCTTGCCAGTTCAGCGCTGAACAGGGTGTCTCGGCACGTTTAAGAGAAGTCGGACTGAAAGTGCACTCTGCAGTGACAAAACCTCTCATCAGCAAAAATAATCAAAAGACTAGGCTCACCTTTGCTGAGGAGCAGGTTGTGTGGAGAGAGGAGATCTGGTCCAAAGGTCACTTTAGTGATGAAAGCAAGTTTAATTTATTTGGGTCAGATGGGAAACATTGTTCGGCATCAAACTCGGGAAAGACTGAAGCCCAAGTGGGTATAGAAGTCGGTGAAAGGTGGAGGAGGAAGTACCATGGTTTGGGGGGTGTTTTCTACAGCAGAATTTGGGGCACTTATACAGCTAAATAGCAGAGACGTTAATGCAAATGTTTATCAGATCCCTCTTAAGCAACATGCGGTTCCTTCCCTGCAAGCATCTCCCAATAAGCCTGCAATTTTCATGCAAGACAATGCCCTTGTCACACTGCAAAACAGGTAAAGCAGTTCCTTGAGGCTGAAAACATTGAAATAATGAAATGGCGGGCCAGAGTCCTGATTTAAACCCAACTGAAAATCTCTATGAAAGCGAGTGGACCAAGATCACACCAGACTGAGAGACTAGCGATGTCCTGTGGCTGCAGATGTGTGAAGTCATTTAAAGCTAGGGCCTACTAGGCTGTAACCCTCCAAATTTTTAGTTGTAATCATCTGTCATGCTGCAGTGGTTACTGTTCTCTAATTTTGATCACTGTGTTTTCCACAAAATAAAGTTTTTTGTTGAAATGCTTTGGTTATTTTGTCAAAAATGTTAGTAGAATGGCGGTATACGAACAGCTAATATTCCTTCAAATTTTGAGCGATGAAGATTAATAATATTTCAGAAAAAATCAAGTATTTATAGATTGTTCTCTATATTTGATTTCCATCGTATGACTGGTTATGTTGTCTCTTCTTATCTCACATGTTTTCACAAATCTGTTCTTATGTTTTGTTTTTATTTATTTATGTATTTATTTTGTTGTTGTTTGTTTGATCGGTGGTTTATTGCATCTTTCACTCTCCTCCACAGACATACATTGGCAGTGTGGTGATCTCCATGAACCCCTACAAGTCCCTGCCCATCTACACAGCAGAAAAGGTGGAGGAGTATCGCAACAGGAACTTCTATGAACTCAGTCCACACATGTGAGTTTAAAAAGCTTGTTTGAAAGCACTATACAACAAAGTCACTGTCTAGTTTATTCCTAGGCTTCCTGGTCGGCAGAGCACAAACTTAAAGAAATTGTTGCACACATGCATGCAAAGGGTTGGAACAGCCCTGCAGTTTCTTTTTTAATCAATAATAATGTGAAGGTCCCCCAGTGGTGTCATGTTTGCAGAGGTGAATTTGCAGAGTAGGTGTGCATAAACGCGGTGTGTTCTATCCACTGGACCCCTGACACATGATGTCCAGCCCTTTTGGGGGAGGGGCGGCTCACTGTCCTGTCCTGCTCCAGCTAATGACCATCTGTCTCTTTAGAGAGCTGCCAGCCGCCTGACCAGACTGCCTAAACAAAACAAAGCAGTCTGCTTTGTTTGATCGGCAGACGCACACATACCCTCTGAAAAAAACAAAAAAAACACCATGGCCTGATCTAACTCTTAAAACCCAACTCTAAAAAAGAGCCATTGAGAATGGGATGGCTGTACCAATAACTTTTCCCATTCATTCTACACACTCTCCCCTGCAAAAGGAGAAGTTTAAATAAACAACTGTGTACAGCTGTATTTTTTCCCCCAAAGGATCCTTTTGGTACTTTCGCCTGTGGGTTCATAGTTTGTTCTCCTCATGTTTCTAAATTGATCTCTCCTTTGCTTCTGGGCCTATCCTGTTCGTTTGATCTGCTTTAAGTGAATATTTGCTCTGGTATGCAGTTCTCCTTCAGTCTTGGACCCTTCCATATTCATATGTTTTAGTCTATGCACTGTTACAGTGGTGTCAGGGTCGATGCTCCTCTGATCTGAAGCCAGGCTCTGAGCTCATTCCAGGGCAGCTGCTTTTCTTGTCATGCCTGGGAAGCAGACCTCTTAGATGGCTCTGGGTGTACTGGCCTGTGGGGCTCGTACATTTCGACGTCCTGGGACAATGGGCTGTAACTGGTCCTGTTAACAGCACAAACTGTTGAATAGTATTTATGATCATCACCTCATCACCTCAGTAAGCACAGCAGTCAGCAGCAAAATGGACCAGGGCATCTGTGCTCAAACTGCTTTCAAGCTTTTGGGTAAGTTTTAATCAAGTCTGTGCTTGTTTTATCATTTTCAGAAATATTGTAAGAGCCTAGTCTCATATAACCAGACTTGTGGCTTAAAGGTGTATAAAGGTAATATTTGAAGAACACTATGTGTTCGCGTTCTCATTGATCTCAATTACAGTCACTCACCTGATGCAGAACATCCAATGCAATTTGAAATCAGCCATCTTTCCTCATGAGTGCTCAATTTTGCATTTAGATGGAAAACTGAAGATTACCCTTTTGCAACAACGCTTGGAATGCAATGCGTCCTTGGTTGCATCATACATTTCATCAAGGGGTGTCCAATCCTGCTCCTGGTGGGCAACCGTCCTGCACAGTTTTACTCTAATCCTAATAAAATATACCAGGTGCAACTAATCACAGTCTTCTGGAATACTAGGCTGTGTATGAAATCACCCCCTATACATTTATATAATGCACTATTTTAGGTGATCGCCATTTGTAGTGGTGTCCGATACTGTAGTGGACATTATCGAGGGAACACATTCAATCCCATAATGTGCGTCAATAGTGTAACCGATGTACACTCAATGGCTAGACACTATACCCATATACTGTAATTGCTGCACTGAATGAATTTCCACATCTAGCTAGTGGTGTTTCGCAGCCCTTCTGGTGGACTCAAGGTGTGAATTTGCTCACTGGTTTTCATTTGGTGCACAATATTAGTAGATTAATGTAGGGAATAGTAAATTATGGTAAAGGGACCATTTGAGATACTGCTCTAGAAACTTATAGGCAAGTATGTTGGCAAGTTGGAGCTAAATTTAATAGGACATTGGGCCTCCTAAAGCAGGACTAGACACCCTTGCATATTGTAAGTTTACTATAGGCATAAGACTTATTCTCATCTTTAATGAGAAGCTTGGATTAAGGTCTCTTTTAGTTAGGTCCTCCTTAAAGACTGTGAGGTTCTTCTTTAAATTAGGTCTTTGTAAAAGATTCCATAATTTGATCTTAATCTCCAAGTCAGGCCATCTGCTTAGGCTTTTGTGTGGTAGATCTTTTGTAAGATGAGACTATGACAGGGTTTGGAAGTTGTCCTTTCCTAATCATCTTTTCCTATCCATGGCGAGGTCACGCAACCCTTATCGATTTTAACAGATGCTCATCAACTTTGGGGTTTATAATGGCAGTTTTGAGTGTGCCTGCTCTACATTGAGACCATGTGTGATATGATTGCTCTTCTCATCTGCAGGGTTAAGTAAATTCTTCATCTAAACCTGCACAGACAAGCCAATTGCACTAACAGCTTAAAGTTATCACAGGCTTTCATAGAGTTCAAAGGGGTCAAAGGAGAGTGGCCTTTTCCAAGGGCAAGTGCAGAATTGGCAGCTTGAAGGGTCATTCTGTCAGCTGGGAAACCTAATGAAATGAAAGAAACGCAAGATCAAGACATCCCTTGAAGCTGATCCACTAGTCCACATTGAGGTCTAAAAAAAATAACAATTGCGTAGACACCAAAGATCTGATATTTAACGTTAAGTGTGTACTTTCTCCTCCACTAGTGTCACCAAGCTTAAACAAGACTTACACAGAGTACAAATCTGTTTGGTGGTTCCATTCTGTTTCTAGTGGTCCTAGCCTACAAATGCATAAAAACTGATATCAGCAGTGTGTTTTTGTTTTCCATTAAAGACCGGAAGAGTCTAGAGTGTGCAGATGTGCCTGAGGCATTGAGAGATCATATGCCCACCTGCTTTTAAGAGGCCTGAGTCTAGATGCAATAAACCTCTTAAGTTAAACGATCAATTGTAAAGGTGTTATAACTTAGTTTTCTTAACATTAAGAGTTTGTTGCAACTAGCAGCTGAGCTTCAGAGGTGGTCAAAGCCATGGAGACAATAAAGTGGCTGAGACCACCATGATCACTAATCACTGCAAATGGTGGTGTGTTTAAAGACACTCACCAGAGGTGACAAACTTCTGCTGGTTGCAACAATATCCTAACAAGAACTATGTGCCCTCACAAGAAGTCTGTTATCAGGACAATCTGACATCTCAGAGAGAAGAATGGAGCAGAATTTGGAATGGTAAGATATTAGTTTGTGTTAATTCACTTCAGATTTGTGTTGGGTTATGATTTTTCTGTATTGTGAATTTTAAATTTGTGAGTATTTTGTTGGATACAAAATTTAAGCAACATTGTGGATATATCATTAATATAGTAATTCACTTAGACTAGTTTTGACTAGACTAGTCCTACTTTATTCAAAATATGATTCATTTGTCGTCATTCAAAAATGTTCACAGAAGTGTCATCAAAACAAATACGTGTATGTGGAGATAAATATAGTGCATGTCATCAGAAGGCTGAAATAGTATTAGATATGATGTTTGGAAATGCTCTGCATTGGATCTTCTCTGACCGCTGGAGTGTGAGCTTGAACTTTGGTGTTGAGGTTGTTTTAGTTAATGACCCAGGATGAGTGTGAAACGCCTCATTCTGGCAGCCGCACAAGGTTCAAGAGCCCCGGTGCCACCTCTCCCTTCCAAACAGACTTCACAGTTTCACACTGCTCTGCTGTCTTTGGCTTAGTGGCCATCTGTGTGTGGTAAGAGTGCTTCAGTGGAGTCAGATTGTGAATGAGGTTGTCTGTGTGTGCATGGGTTTTTTTTTTTTTTGAGGGTGGAAGGTCTCTTTAATGGTCCTTATGACATCTCTGTCTGAGGTTCATGCAAGAACGTGATCCCATGTGTTCAACACATTGTGCTTTTAGCTTTTCTAAATACAACGGTTCATAGTTCAGGCCTGAAAGTGTTCTCAGAAGCACATACTGTACTATATGGTTTACAGTGAGGCCAAGAAAAGCTGTGTGTGTGTGTGTGTGTGTGTGTGTGTGTGTGTGTGAGAGAGCAAATTTGGGACCTGTAAGTTTCCTATGCTGTTGGATTGCATACAGGAAATCTTCAAATGAACCATTTGAGATTAAGCAGTTAAGAAACCGTGAGCTGACAAGAATTACTAAAAGACCGTGAGCCTACAGTAACCAACAACTTTTTTTCACAAATCAGTATGATCTGTTTGTATACATGCTTCATTTCAGTAATGATAATTTTTGTGTAGTCAAAATCTTTCATGGAAAAGTTCACCTGATAATTAAGATATTGTTTTCTCTGCCGTGTCATTCCAAACCAGTGTTTTGATGAACTGACACAAAGCTCTTTTTCATACTGTACTTAGTTCATAGTAATTACGAGAAGAAAGTACAATAACTCAAAACACCTTAAGACGTAGTATTTTACTGTGTTCCAAATCTTCTGACGTCAATAGCTTCAAAATAAATGTTTTCTTTTAAATCTAAAGAGCTTTTAAAGGCTGCACAGCTTCTGTGGAGGAAAGAAAAATCATCAGTGAATGAGAACTTAAAGAATAAAAAAGGCACACGTAAAGCTATTGTAAGACTTCAGACTTGGAATATACTGCATATACGACTATTACTATGGTTTATGCATTTATTATTTTTTTTATTTTGAAAATTGACAGTTTTGGTCTTTAACTGTTTTCATATGGCAGAGCTACATCATAAAGATTGATTCAATTTCTCCTTTTGATAAGAACAAAACAGCATTTGGATTTGGAACAACATAAAGATCAGTAAGCATCGACGCAATTTTCATTTATGGATGAACTATTCCTTTAATGAGCAGACGTGTAGACACAAAAAATCCCGCAGCAGGCTTGATGATTCATTACCTGAGCATTAACCACAGCACACACACTGTATTAATTAAATGAATGAGCTTTGCCAAATGCTTTAGACAACCATTGTCTCTCTAGACATCTTTGAAACACTCATTGCACATATGTAGTGACTAGACGGCCCCTTTCTTTCCTCTGGGGTCTTCTGTGTGCTTTGGGCCTGCTCGCACCTGCTACCCAATACTG